CATCCCGGTTGCTATACACCTGCCAGGCCAGGCCAGCAATGATTGCCAATTATAATTGATTAGTATTAAAATTACTTAGTTTGAAATTGCTTCAAAATGGCTCCAAATTTTCTTCCAAATTTCATCAAAACTGCTTTTTCAAAATTGCCTCAAAACTAGATCAAAATTGAATCAAGACGCAGGAATCAAGATCATTTTAAAGTTACATCAAAATATCATTTTAAAATTACATCAAAATGTCATGGAGTTGTCATCAGTTTTTTGACGGTCGTCTGACAGTTTTTCCCGACTGCGACACGCGCCTCCCCAACATGTTTCCGCGCGCGCACATTTGAATCGTGGCGCCACAATCTTGTCGGTTTGATTGTCTTTGTCTCCGGTCGGGTCCCCGCCGCCGGTCCCCGCCGGTCCCACGGCGCGCGCTGCTGCGTCCGTCCGGCGCTTATGTAATTACCGAACGGGATGGTGGCGATGCGCCTACAGCCTACAGGTATCGCTTTGCTTCGCGCTTTTGTTTACGGGACAGTCCCGCCCCGCCGTGCCCGCCGCCGCCCCTGGCTGGCCTGGGATAGACAAGTGAAAGTTTTCCACACTTCAATATGCCCCCCTGACGTCACGACGAGCCCGACCGGGCTGATGGTTTGATAGCGATGCCCAATAGCACACTGTCAAAAAGGCGAGAGAGGAAGTCGTTCCGTTGTTCCGTTCGGTTCGGAATGTTGTTTACGGCGGGCGGGCGGCGCGGTCGCGGCGAGTCACGTCCCTCCCCCTGGGCGGCTGATAAGTAACGCCCTCGCGGGTCCTGAGTTGTTGTAATATCGAAACAGTGCCTAAATTATTGCGAAACGTTGAGAAGAACGGTCCAAAAGTGTAGGAGAGTTTTTCCAGAGTTTCGCGGCCAAGGGCGCGGGTCACGTTGACGTGAAGCTAGGGAGAGGTCCCATCGAGGGTATCGCCGAGGGCTGGGCACCGAGATAGTCCCGTGGAGCAGCGTGCCGTCGAGAGTGCGACTAGGGGTGCCGCTGAGGGTGGCACCGAGGGTGGCGCCGAGGGTGCCGCCGAGGGTGTCGACGCGGTCCCAGGGCGCAGCCGCGCCACGCACCCCGCGGGCGCGCGTCACCCGCCACCGCACCCGCCCAAGGGCCTCCGCGGCCCATAGCGTGGAGGGATGCCCGTATTTTTACAGTCGTGCGCTGGGAACGGTGGGGCTGTCCAGGGTGCGGGGTGGG